GATGAGCAAACGCCCACCACGACACAAATGCACACACTAAACTTTGGGCAACGCACACATTTGTTAGAAATTAAATCTGGTGTGTTCTTGCAAACAAGTTTTATGGCTGTACGAAGAGAGGCTATAAAATGAGGTTGGGATCCTCGGTAGGTGGCATGTTACACACATTTTTTTAAAGTATTCCTCCTCCCCTATAAATGCGCAACAGATGTAACATTCAACCTAAGCGATAAGATTTATTACTATTTTTAAAACAAATTCAGCACAGCTTAAAGAGAACACTGTACAGAATTAAGTTAGGAAGAGGTTTCTCTTGTCATCAATGTGTGTTTTGCACTTGTTAAATCCTGCCCTCAGAGCCGACTCCGGGTAGTATTTTGGGTCTCTAGCAAAGGTGATGATGCTGCAATCCCATCTGCGAACACGGCGCAGAGCAGTCTCCCTCCAGCCACTGCAGACATGGACCCATTTCTCTCTTAATAAGCGAAAGAAACCTGCATGCCCTTTTTCTGAGCCCAATTATTTCAGGAGATTTATGATAACCATATAACCAACAGTACATGCAGTTCAAAGCAATTTTCACCCACTGTTTGGCAACTAAGGAGTAAAGCATTACAGCTATGATCAAAGAATGGCGTTACATTTATTATTGTTTTATATTTATTTCTTTACCTCATTAATTTTTGTATATTATCTTGTTTCATATTTTCTTCAGAGGCCACAGTTCTTCTGTTTTCTAAAAAAAAAAAAAGAAAGAAAGAAAGCAAAAAAACTGCCTATACATAATTTTCTCCTGTCAAAATACTGTTGTTCTTCCTCTTGTTAGGTTCATTACCAAGATCTCCATGTGTGAAAAGCAGTGAGAGAGGACAGGTGAAATTTTACTAACATGAGTATGTTGAAAATATCACAAAATAAGGGACAGTTCTGTAAAAACATCTTAAATGGTAAACACTCCCGTGAAAAATTGGTACGCCTACACATCATGTGGTAATCTGGCATTTTTGAGGACAAGAAACATGAAAATCCAAACACAACTGGACGTAATATTAAAAACACATTTAAAGGAAACAGTCAACAACTTCACCTGTTAAATCATTGTTTAGATTTTGTACTTTGCTGCATGTTGAGTAATCCAGAGCGGTCCATGGGAGCGGCTCCACGGAGTCCTCTCCGTTGGCCTCAGAAGAGCTGCCACTGTGGGAATTCACTTTGGAGAAGCTGATGCACCTGGAAGTTATCTCCTACCAAGCTGCACACACAGCCAAGCACTGAAAACTGTGACCTTCCGTGCAGCCTCTCGGCACCAGTGTGCAGCTTTCGCTCTGTCTTCCCCAAGGAGGATAACAAGGTTTTCACCTCTCATAACAAGTGTCACGTCCAAGACACTGGCATGTGGATGGATGTATTAAAAGTATCTGACTGCATTTGTAGGGAGCACTGATTAGATCCACAGGCCAGGGACACTTCTACCTGTCTAGTGCACAAACACTGCTTTGCTACTCTGCTTTTACAATGCAGTTTGCTTACAGCAGCCATAGCAGTTGAGATGTCTAAAACAAGCGACTTGGCCTGTTTCTATGTCCCCTTTATAACACGGCTTGTCTAGAACATTTTCAACTCACTGGCAACATCCACCTCTCTTGTATCCCATCTGTTTAGGGGAAGACTTGACATACACGAGCAGAGCGCTGTGCTCGTGCATCCATTCCAGAAGTCAGTAACGGTACCTGCTCTGCACGTCGCTGCGATGAAGAAAACACGATTCTCTGTCCACCTGCAGACACAGGGCTTCTCGGGCTTGGAAAAGTGTTCTTGTTCAGGGGCAGATCCGTGTGGAGCTGAGCACCAGCCTGCCTAACGCTTTCAAGAGGCTGACGGGGGCATGCAGCACGATTAGCCTGCGTACTCCACTGAAATTGCAAAGATTTTTTTTTTTTAATTCTGTAACAACTGTACATGTCAAATGAGAGACTTTGTCCTGTGGATAGACATGCAACAGACAGACTGCATAGCTTTATGACCAAAAGCACTTAAAAATCTTTAAGCTTTATCTTTGCAGATATTTTGAATATCCCCTGGAAGGTGTGATAATATAATGGTTGGCAAAGGGAACGAAGGGAGAGAGAAAAATGGGATGAAGGTATTCTGCACGCAAAGGGTAGTTAATCGTTAGTATTGTCTACAATTCCTTTGGCTCACAAAAGTCTCAAGACAGACTCCTGCTTTATAATGACTAAAAATTTTCTACTGCCCTACTTCCTCTCATCTGTAACACATGGTGGAATCCAGAGATTCGGGCTGCTTGTTCTTCATGGGCAAATGGCACGTCCTACAGCAGCTCATACCTCCCTAATAGCCCACAGACACCGTTCCCCCGAACGCAAAGAGTATCACCATGTCATCGTGTCCCTTGGGCTCCCAAAGCACATCCATTTCAATGAGACTCTGCTCTGGGGTCTTGTTTGTTTTGTTTTATACTTTTTTCCTTAGCTTGATATTTTCTCCTCTTCCTGGGGGAGATGCCCATTTTGCACTTATACAAGCGAACCACATACTTCAACTTTGAAAGAAAAAAGAGCAGAAAGAAGCAGCCAAAACATGTGGTGATTCTTATCTTCCTTTAAAGAATGACAAAACTGCATGTGAAATTCAACACCCAGGATCAGTTAATTTTATCTGAAAAAGAAACTTATCATGTAAGTTACCATTTGCTATGATTACAGCCTATTTCATCTGTAAAGTCCCCACGATGCCCGTATAAGTTATCTTCACCCTCTGGGAATGTGGGCATGGGACAACATTGCTCACTGATCATCAGCCTTTGTTTTATTTTACAATACATTCATGAGTCTCTATTTCCAACAGCAACTGGACCACGCTTCTTTAGCCCTTGCTGGTATTTTAAATTCACCGATTACCTTGGCTTCAAAGTGAGACAGTAATGCACATTTGTGTTACTCTCCCTTTAATGTAGTACAAAGCTGGACACAACTCAGGAAGAAATCCTTAAAATCCATTACCTATTTATGATCATGTACAAACGGATATTTATCATGTTAAAAGAGAACCATATGTTAAAGAGGAGGCTAGAGCCCAATAAATCTTCTTGGATGAAATTCCTTTCAAAAAAGGCATAAAATTATTAATGTTTGCTTTTGCCAGTAGGAACATTTGCTCATGAATCTCTTGGGAAGGGAAGGGCATTTAACCCTTTTACATGCCACCCCCTCAGACATCTCTGACCTCAACTGCAAAATAAGACAACAAAGATTCCCGACTCCACGCTGATGATTAAACTTCTTGTAAGAAACATCTGGATGAAATTTTCTTGGCAGTTGACTGGAAAAGTATACAAGAAGCAGAAATAGGGAGCAGCCATAGTTCAGCTGAGTGCCACAAAGATGTTGCTGTGCAAAAGCAGATTTTTCCTTGAACACATTAACTCCTAAATATCGGTTTGTGACTTTGCAGGCAACCTCATTAGCAGAAAAAAAAAAATCTCTTTTCTACTCTGCATGTCAGAGTAGAGTAGAGAGGGAAAAAGGGTTTTGAAAGAAAACTCACCTGACAGTCTCATTAATAAAAGCCTTAAGCAGTTCACCTGTCTAATTCTTAAAATACATTGCCAGGTATGCGAGAAGTTGTCAGTCACCTTTCGTTCCAAAATAGCACTGTGAATGACTTTAGAAATTTTGATTTTCCTAAATTTCACAAATTTCTGAGAAATTCACCACAAACGTGATGTAATGCCTTCCTGCCATTCCAGTCGGTACTAAATGAGCAGCAGTGACCAGTGCTTCCCCCGGCCTGACTTTCACAGCAGAGGTGTGTGGCCCTGCTCTCTGCCGCTTGAGCTCCAGAGCCTGCCAGCCCAACACGTCTCTGTGTGTTGTTTGGCTTTGAAAACACAGCCCATGGGCTTCTCACTGACCTCTGTATGTGCAACAGCCCTAGAAGAGGGAAACTGTCACCGCTGCTATTGAATAGCAATGAATTTGAGTGAATACTGAATAAATATCATCAAGGAGAAAGCTACACGAACCAGGCCCATTTGCAGCTACCATGGGGGGAAAAAAAAAAAAAAAGGGAGCAGCAGAGAAGAGCAATGAGAGAGTCTGATCCAAAGACTCCAGGTTGTTCCAGGCAGGGAGGAACCTTCTGCCTGTAAGGAGGGTCCCAGGACACGGGGCAAAGAGAGAGATGCTGTGGCCTTGCCCTGAAGCCAGGGACTGGAGAGCTTCAGATTAATCAGACTGAAACACTATTACTCCAATATGTACATTAAAAATGAGAGCTTCAATGCAGAAGTGGCCCAGCAATTAGCAATTCCTTGCAGTAGTTGAAAATTTGATGGAGGAAAAGGCAGGGCTTTGACTTTTCAGTTGAGGCCCTGCTCCAAAGAAATACTAATCCACATGTGGTTAACATTGCTTGGTAAAAGTATCTAAATCACAGAGAAAGTAACAGATAGACACAAAATCTGGATTAAAAAGTCTACAGTTCAAGCTTCAAGGTGCTTGCACTTTCTGATGCACTCTTATTTACTTAGTCTACATCACTGAGATCCCAGTAGATCTAGCAAAGGGGCACCTATCCAAATTAAATTTCTCATGTGCTAAGTTTCTCACTACATGAACATATTCACAAAGGTCCAGTAACTTGAATTCATGAGAAACCAGCCCTCGAGATTTAGAAAAAAAAATCTGCCAGATAATTAAATTACAGCATGGGACAAAGAGCCAAATGGAATGCAGAGCAGAAATTCAATCACAGAAGTATAAGAGTAAGAAGAAAAAAAGCTCTGGAGCTGTTTTTTCTTCCACCAAGATAAATAAAATACTGTAAATATTCTGTACTACATTGTTCGCACTACCACTGGAATGGTAATGAGCAAATAAAAGCAAAAAAGTTTACAGGAGCCCAAATAAAATCCAATATTCAGTAAAAATAGCAGAGATAAACCATTGCCATGTAGGACGTCTACATGCAAAGGCCACACCACTTCTGCAGGCAGGAGGAAACATCGGTGTAGACTCAGGCCATCAACCTGCCAGGCCATGTGTGCCATTGTAACTCAAGTGAGTTGATTCCATGGCTAGGAGAAATAAATTAAAACCATCATATCAAGGGAAAATCTGCATTTTGTTAAGACACTTTCACAGTGTCAGTGTACACTTTACAGCTACTACACGTGCTTCACTCTACACGACCAGTCTGCACCGAATAGAGAGGATGAGATAACACTCTGAACCCAGCAATGTGTGTACAACCAATAAAAAATTAAATTATGTAGTAAAAGGCAGATTACAGGAAAACATGGACCCAAGGCTTACAGTGTATCTAGAAATACCCTTACACTTAAAAAATTATAATGCACTCCAAAATTCATTTGTTCAGGCAATCCACATACAACAGAAGGCACTGTTATCCATATGAATCTATCAATTCTGCACTGCAAAAACCTGAGAAGTGCAACTCAATTAGATGCAATCTGGCCCCCTCCCAGTCATTCAGGTTCCTTGAGGACAAATGTTTCCTTTTCAGTCCATCAAATTATAAAAACAGCACAAGAATTTGTACATTACAGTAGCTGGTTAGAAAGAGCATTCCGGTGAGGGAAGCACACTGCTATATTCCCAGAAACCTTCCACAGCATTAAATTACCCTTCCCTATCACTCAGAGGTCATGATGATTTTAATAAAATGTAACGATGAAACCCTTCGCATTGACCTTTGCGGTTTCTCCTTCAGTTGCCACCGGGATTATTTCCAAAGTTAAATGCTGTGATCAGTCCTTTGTTGTCAAATGTGTAGCCGCTTTGTTGTTCTATTGTCTTAGTCTCTAAAATTCAAAGAAGGGAACAGATATGAAAAACAGTCTGTAGAGAACACTTTTACCAGAGAGAACACAGTTCAGCTAAGAATGGAAAGCTGTCGAATCAAAATTTGATTCCCCCTAAGTGCACTGACAGCAATAAATTATACTCAGATTTTCTTTAAATGCATAAACACATGCATCTCTAGAGCAGAGCTGAGAAATTCATCCATTACAAAATAATTGTATGTGACACTATTCTGCATGCTGCTTGATTAAGCTAGAAGTTATATTCAATGATGCGAGCTTTTTAAACTTCCAAAACCTTGCACCGACTGTGAAGTCAACGTTAGCAGTTGAAAGTTACCAAGCTGTTAGACACACAATGCACAATTATCTATAGTAATCTTCATTAAATATCTAGTTGACAGACAGGTATTGCCTTCATTTGCTCTTCATTTCAAATGTCAGATTGTGCAAAACTAGCTTGGACTCTGTTCAAGCAGCAGCATATGTCATGGAGGAGGCAAATAACTAGAGGCAACAGAAATCTCTCTGGGAAACACACACTTCCAGGCAAGGGATAATAGGGGTACAATTTCCTACTCACACTTCTCAGGACTGCGTGTGACTCACATTAATTAGCACGACGACTCATTAGATGCAGTTGCAACACCCCTGAAACACACAGAGTGGCCCAGAAGAAGTGACTCACCTGCAGCACTCCGCCGGTGTTCTGCTAATGTGTAAATCTCCTGGAGCTGTTTCTTCTGATCCTCGCTCAGCGGGGCTGTCAGCGAATGGTACCAGCCGGCATCTCGCCTCTGCACCGCTGTCAGGACAGGAATGCAGGATAAGTGACAACCAGCTTACATGGCAAGTCCATTTCACAAGAACAAAGTAAAACACACAGAATCCTTAGCTGGTTTAAAAACAAAACATGCACTGGAAAAAACAAACAAACAAACAAAAAAAAACACAAGATACCAAAACAAAATCCCCATCTCTTTGTTAGAACAGAATCCCTCTGTAACAGAAGCGATTCATTTCATGGAACTTAATTACATGCTCTGCTTCCTGATAGAGAGAATTAACAACGCGGCCATTATTCAAGGACAATGATGAAGTTAATCTTTTAATGTAAGATCCACATCAAAAATAAAAGCAGCATTGTTTGTCAACTGCTTTGGAGAAGAAGAAAATACTTTTCCATTATGATTTTAACATTTAAACAGTGACAAATGTTTCTCTATATAGGATTATCTCTAGTGACTGAGACCCACTTATTTAGGCTGTGGTTGAAAAGTTCAGGAAAAGAACATAAAGAGAATTAGTCTCAGGTTCTACTTGCTATCTGCTTTTTGTGGTACTTGTTAGCCAAACAATTTTACGACTAGCATTAGAACATAAAATCACATTTTTCAGTTTCAACAATCTAAATTATTACTCATAACACGGAAAAGGGTTTTCAAAAACGATGACCACAGGCATCTTCAAACTTGCAGCATTCTGCCAACTAGCGGACACCTACCTAAAAGTGCTTGTGCAAAAAATTGATATTCATCAACACCATTTTCAAGATCAAGAGGTGTGCTGAACCCTTCAAGAGCAGTCTCTTCCAAAGCATCTTCATCCCAGTCGTCGTCGTCATCATCATCATCGTCCTCTTCCTCTCCACCACCACCATCACCGCTGCCTCCACCATGGTTCTCTTGCATCGCCTGGCTCACTTCATTTGTATCCTCCTCATCACTTGCTATTTCTTCTGCAAAAGTATCAACGTATGTTGTAAAATACAGTTTAAAAATTATTAAGAAACAACGACTGATGAACGAACAATGAATGAATGTATATTCTTGATTGAAAAAAGAGACCCTCTGTTAATACCCCTCGCCCTCAGGAGAACTGAAGGAATGACGCTGTTAAAACATTCCCTGTGTTCCAGATCAGCCACACTTCTGTTTCTAGCAAGAACAGGGGGAAGGTGAAACTGCCTCTTTCTTTTTATTATGTGTGCACAGTCATTGCACAGTCACAGAATCCTGAAATTTTAAACAAATTTGTCTACAGTAGTATCCCATCACCGTGCTTTTTGAATGATGAACAAGTAAGGACTTGCACATACTTTACAAATTGACAAAAACTAAAGAGAACACTAAATGGATGCCAAATGTCCTGCCTGTGTACTTCAGCATGTTCCTTTATTAGCTTTACTTTATATCCTGTTTAAAAACAACTCCATCATGCAATTACGAAAATTGCTATTTCTCATTTCCCTCAATCCCAAACTTTGAGTTCTTTCAGTGTAAACATGATGGACAGAAGATGACCATATCTGCAACAAGCAGAGGGACTGAACCACAGCACACAGATTTGAAAATTACTGTGCAGTTTCATACCGTATTCCTATGCATTGAGAAGAATTCAGTAATTCCCTTACAGAACAACCATGTGTGAAATGTTAATGGATTATATTATCTGCTTAAACCCAACCTAGTTTTCAGAGCTCAAACCATCTATTTCTTGCTGCAGGTCAAATAGATTCAAAAGCACCTGCCTGCAAAGCTGTCTAAAATGTACTCCCCCCATCTCTTACTCCCACCTATTCTTTGGACCACGTTTTGCCTGTCAGCCACAGCAATAAGAGGAACATGAATCTACGCAAGGAACCTTCAGTTGCTGAAACCCCACTTTTCTAATCACCGTGTGCCCCTTGCCTTCTGGACAGGGAAGGATTTCTTTCCAAGTTCACTAAAAGAGGTTTTTAAAATGGTTGGCCACCAGGCACAGTTTCTTCCCAGCAATGAAGAATATGGCCTGTACAGTCGTGGCAAATTCGTGCCACCTACGTGAGAAAGCCCTGGGTGTTGATGAATGCAGCACATTCACAAAACAGCATAGCGGACTTGCAAGTTTTATTGTTACTTTGAAACCAAAGCTCTCCTTTCACAGTATTAGCTATTGCATTGAACTAGAGCTTTTGATTGCATCTGGGGAGGAAAAATCAATTCCTAAGGTGATCTTTCAAACATCCAGTAAGCCTAGCTATTTTCAGCAGACTAATGAGTCTTAGAAATGAACTGCAATTTCTTATCCCCTTCAAATTAAATCCAGACAAAATCCACAATGTGAAAACAGGAGATTTTACCATTATCTTCTGCAACGTGTTTCTCATCTTTAGCATGATCCTCATGTTCTGTGAGTTCTCGTGAGGCACAGACTTGTTTTAAGCCCAGGAAGAGGAGGAGGATGGAAGGGACAATCTGTGCAGCCACAGCATCCACTGCAGGTGGTCGATTCTGCAATTCCATTAGGATGCTCAGTCCTATGATACACATCTTTCTGTCATGGAGCCTAAAAGAACACACACTTGTTAGACAGGAAACAGATTTCTGCTGCATAGATACCCCAGAATCTCAGAAGGGTTGAGGTTGGA